TGGGTCCAGCTCCTGCCCCATCTGAGAGAGGTGAGGATAGGACAGTGGATAAGAGAAGGTGGCAGGAGAAGGTGGCAGGAAAGGGCCAAGGATGTGCTGCACTGCCAGCTGCCCAGGCCTGGAAGGGCTGGGGGCTGTTCCCAAAGGCAACTGGGCATGACTTTGCTGGGGGTGAGAGACTACCCTGGTCCACCTGGCGGGGATGATGGCCTCAGAGAGGGAGCCCTGCAGCCCCCATGGAGCCCTGAGAGGAAAAAAGGCAGAGGCAAGGAAGTGGATGCAGTCTTGTTTTATTGACTGGAGAAAGACACATGAGGTGAGGCAGGCTGGTTATCCCCCCTGTCTTCTGGAGAGATGTTCCTTCAGGTTTCTGCCAGGCAATAGTAATTGGAGAGACAAGCAAGTGCCCTGTGGGATGATGGTGGAGCTGCACATCGGGGAACAGGATTGAGCAAGGAGGAGCGGTGCCATGGAAAGAGGGGCAGGAGGGCAGAAAAGAGAGGAAGGGTGAAGCTGAGTTGTACCAAGGGCTGTGTGGTGTTTGCGTCTGAGTCTAGCAGGACCCACAGGTGTCCCAGAGCTTCTTGCTGGAGCGGGGCAAGACACAAGGGCTGCAGGCAGGAGCAGCGTAGGCTCTGCCAAAGGTGCAGAGGCCCCCCGAGACCTGGGTGGCACCGGCACCATAGAGGCCCCCCAGACCCAGGTTGCCCCCAAAGGCCGGTGCTCCAGAGGAGCCCACCACAGCTTGCTGGGGGAAAGAGCTGAGGATGGGTCCGGGGAAGGTGACCATGACAGGGGGTGGCTGGATGAAGGCCGTGGAGTCAGGGCACTGGCGGGTGCACAGGTCGTTGCAGCTCTCAGCGATGGGCTGAGGGACGGCCACGCTGGTCTTTGGTGGGCACAGGTCGTAGCAAGACATCTTTGTGCAGGATCGGATGGTGCTCTGCAAGAGGGCAGAGATGGTAAGAGAGCAGCAGAGGGGAGCCCCCAAAACAGATGAGCCAGGGCTGGAGAAAGGGACAAGGAGGTGAGACAGTCTCCGACTTACCCTGTTCCTGAAGGAGAAGGCAGGCAGAGCAGTGGTTGGGAGAGCCTGGCAGAGGCAGAGCTTTTATACTGTCCCAGCCCTTGCTCAGCACCACCTGGGCCAATCTGCAGAGGCGACACTCCCTCCTGATGAGGAAGATGGGGCTGTCCTTCTCCTGCCCCTCCTTGAGTCAGCATCCCCTCCCCAGACCAGCACATCCCGCTTCCCAGCTTTTGCTCCCCTTTCTGCTTTGTGAGCTAAATGAGAGCAGGCATCTCCATGTTGAGGGTGTACACAAGAGGAGAGGGCCCTAATTCTGCAGCTCCTCGCTGCCTGCCTTGTGCTTTGCTTTGGAAAGAGATCTCCTCTGATGGCAGGAGAGTCGTGACAGCCAGCAGGGCCAGCCCAGTCTGGGACAGCTACATTTGTGACACCAGACAAAGCCTTCTTGTCCCCACTACTGAAGGACAAGCCCCTGCTCAGCACCGTCCACCAGCAGTGGGGTTCCCGAGACATTGAGCCATGTCTCCCCAGATGAACCTATGTGCTCCTTATACCATGCACCCCGGTGAAAGCAGAAGGGATCCATTTCTCCCAGACTTGCAGAAGTCGATGGCCAATGCCTGCAGGCGCATGGAAACCAGCTCCGTTGGACTGGTATGTGATGCATCGTGCTGAGCAGGCAGTGTCCGAGAGGAGTGCCTTTGATTTGGTATTTCCTAAGCTCATGCATTGGCAGATAATAGCCACACAACGTACGTCATGCTGGTGCTGGAATGTTAGAGGTCTTTGCAAGGCTGCCTTCTTGGCCAGCACCACTACCCTGGACTTCCCTGTATCTCCGAAAACAAGGCCTGGGTCCACCCAAAGACCAAGCACTTGGCAAAGGGCTATGGCACGCAGGGTGCTTGCAGTCAGCCTTTGTCACGCTGCGTGCCCTCTTACACAGCCAGATAATGAGAAGAGAGAGGGGCTCATTTGGCCCATGAGGTGGCAGCTGGCAAGTGTCCGAGCAGGGTAATTGGAGGGGCTGATAGAACGGGTTGGGGCTGGTGAGGAAACAGCATCAGCAAAAGAGCCCCGTGTCACCCAGGGAGGAGGCAGGGGCTTGGCTGGCGTGGGCCACGTGCCCCCAGTGCGTCCAGCTCCTCCCCACGCTCCCTGGACCAGCATAAAAGCAGTGGCCTCACTGAGCACTGGCATCCACTGCTCCTGCCTCGCTCTGCTCAGGAAACAGGTAGGTGGGTGCCTGTGGGTCTGTGTCTCCTGTGGCAGGAGCTGGCGTGGGGCCTCCCTGGCCAGGAGAGCTCTGACAGCAGCGGCCGTGCTGGCAGCAGCCTTGGACAGGCAGGGTGGGCTGATCCACGGTGGGAGGAGGAAGGAGCCCTGTGGCTGTGGCACCCAGAGCCAGGCCCTGCAAAGAATCTTGGGGAGCACTTGGGTGGCCTCTGTGCATGCAGAGAGCGCAAGGCAAGGAGTCTGGAGAGCAGGGAACTAAGAAAGGCCAGCTGGGCAAAGGATAAGCTTCTGGCAGTGAAGGCAAGTTGGTGGCTTTGTCCCCTCCAGCTCCAGGGCCACCTCTGGGAACAAGGCGCTTCTGGAATGGGACATCTCATTATCGCTCATGTTGTTATTCCTTGTGTCTTTGACTTTCAGGCTCAGCTCTCTCTCACACAAAGATGTCTTGCTACGACCTGTGCCCACCAAAGACCAGCGTGGCCGTCCCTCAGCCCATCGCTGAGAGCTGCAACGACCTGTGCACCCGCCAGTGCCCCGACTCCACGGCCTTCATCCAGCCACCCCCCGTCGTGGTCACCTTCCCCGGTCCCATCCTCACCTCTTTCCCCCAGCAAGCCGTGGTGGGCTCCTCTGGAGCACCGGCCTTTGGGGGCAACCTGGGTCTGGGGGGCCTCTATGGTGCTGGTGCCACCCAGGGCTCAGGGGGCCTCTGCACCTTTGGCAGAGCCTACGCTGCTCCTGCCTGCAGCCCTTGTGTCTTGCCCCGCTCCAGCAAGAAGCTCTGGGACACCTGTGGGCCCTGCTAGACCCACACCACACACCCCGCAGCCCTTGGCACAACTCAGCCTCATGCCTCCTTTTTTTTATCCCCTCCTGCTCCTCTCTGTATGATACATGTTTGCCTTCCTCTGGCCCATGCCCAGATACGCAACTCCACCTTCATCCCACTGGGCACTAGCTTCACTCTGCCATGATGACCACCTGGCAGAAGCCTAAACACCTCTCCTGAAGCCTGGTGGGTCAACCTGCCTGCCTCTGCCTATTGTGTCTTTCTCCACTCAATAAAAAAAGCCTGCATCCAACCCCTGCCTCTGCCTTTTCTCTGTCAAAGCACACTGGGAGCTGCAGGGCTCCCTCGCCCTGCAAGTCGACCCTGCCAGCCACCCCAGGGCAGTCTCTGAGCCCCAGCAGAGACAGGCCCAGCTGCCTTTGGGGACAGCTCCCAGCCCTGCCTTCTCTGCCCACAAACGCTCCTTCAGCTGATCTCCAAAGGTCCTGCCTGACCACAAGCTGCTCCCCTCTTGAAGGACATGCAGCCCTGGGGTGTTTCAAGACCGTCCAGCCTCCCTGTGCATGAATTTGGCTTCTCCAGGGGCTGGGAGCCAGGCAGGAGCAATCCCTGCTGCATCTCCAGACTCTTTGTATCTCTGTGGCTATGCTCAGGCTCTGGCATAAAAAAAAGCACTTCCCCTTCTTCTTCGCTATTCCCTTCCTGTTATCATTCTTCCTCTTTCCATTCCTTGTCCCTGGTGGGCTTCTCCCTCTTCTTTACCTTACCCTTTTCTTTCTCTTTCCCTGTTCTCCTAATGCTTCTTCCCCTTACCTTGAATCTTTGTCTTCTTCCCCTTCAACCTCCCTTCTTTTTCTCTTCCTACTTCTCCTTCCTTTCTCTTCCCATCTCCCTTCCCCAAAAATCACCTCTTCCAGATTCTTCTTTGCCTTCTCTTACACCTTCAAGCTCCACATTCTCTTCTGGCCCCCAGCACAGACCAACACACTTAATATTTTTCCGTACTACGCAGAAGACACAACATCATAGAAATCACTGCTTGAATATTGTCACAGGAGCCTTTACAGGGCAGCTTGTCACACTGCCAACTCAGACAGTGTCACCCAGAGCCAGCTGCCCAGTACCACGTCCAGTCGACTTCTGCATGTCTCCAAGGATGGAGACTCCACAGCCTCCTAGGACAACCTGTGCCACTGCTTTGTCACTCTCCCAGTGAAAACAGTGGTTTGAGGTGTTGAGGTGGAGCCTCAGGTACTGCAGCTGGTGCCCATTGCCTCTTGTCCTGGCACTGCACACCACAGGAAAGAGCCTGGCTCCATATTTTAATGCCTTTTCTTCTGGCATGTGTGCACCTTGAGACGCCGTTGAGGATCCTCAGCTACAAGAGCAATGGTCCCATCTCTCCCAGGCTTTCTCAACAGGAGACAGACTCCATGTGCTTTCATCATCTGCATGTCCATTTGCTGGACTCTCTCCAGTAACCCCGCATCCCACCTGTACTGGGGAGCCCAGCACTGGCCACAGCACTGCAGGG